AAAGCAGAATTGGCCAAATGGAAAAGGAAGTCCAAAAGCTCATGAAGAGAATACTTCCCTAAAAATTAGAATGGAGCAAATGTTTGTAGAATTGAATTGAACAAATATTTGCCAAGTACCAACTATGCTCAAAGCACTATTCTAGATGTTGATGGAGACTTAACTATGAATTGGTGTAACAGAAAAAGCCATTAACTGGGAAGCAGGAAACCTGGGTTCCAGTCTGTTACTAGTTCTTTGAGATATTGGGCAATCTTGTAGTAATCACAGAATTATGAAGATTTCAAATGCATTATTTCATTTGATTCTCAAAACAATCCCTAGAAAGTTGGTGCAAGAATTATCATTCCCAATTTACAGATGTGGAAATTTATATTTAGAGAAGGAAAGTCACTTACTCATAGTTGCAGACTTGGTACAGAGCAAAGTTGGGTTTTGAATCCCAAGTCTTCCGTCATATGGTCCTGGGAGCTTCTCACTATATCAAGATGCCTTTTCAAAGTGCTTTAGGGGGCAGCTAGGTGGTACAGTGGATAGAGCACCGGCCCTGGAAGGAGGAGGACCTCAGTTCAAAGCGGGCCTCAAACATGTAACACTCACTAGCTGTGTGACTCTGGGCTTAACCCCACTTAACCCCAGTGCCTCACTAAAAACACAAAAACAAAGTGCTTTAGGAAAGTCACTTTCTCTCTCTAGGCCCTAATAACCTTCTCTGGCAAATGAAAGGATTGGATCAGATGATCTCTAAAGTCCCTCCCAATTCTATCATTCTATATTCTGTCCTAAAGTCTTTTCCATTTATGAGAGATGATGTGGTTGGACTAGGTGATCTCCAATGAGAAAATGGTTGTATGGCCACTTTCCCAGAGGCTGTATGGAGGATTTCTATTTCAGTTACAGGCTAAACTAAGCGACCTCTGAGGTTTCTCTGATTCTGTGTTCTAAGGTCACTTACTGCTTTGATGTCAAAAATTTAAATCTAAATTGGTTATTTGCCCCTTCAAGATACCTTTCCTCTTCCCCACTCTTCACAAGTGTCTCTTTATCTGAACTTTATGATTGCTAAATTATAAACCACTTGTCCTTTTCATGATAATCTGAGACTACTTCTGTGTCTCTCTGTTTACGTGTTGGGTATGGCCTGAATGTATGGATGCCTGAAATCGACCCACACATGTACAAAGCTTGGTTACTTTCTAGGGGTGTCTGCCCCAGTCTTCGGGTTATTGCTAGAAGCAATACCCAGGGCATATCACCCTAGCACTCTATCCCCCTACCACATTCCTCCAGGGACCAGGATATCCTGTCAAACTGAAAATCAAGTGGATAATGGTGAACCTTACTTAAGAATAAATGAAAAAGCATTTATTACTTATTCTGTGCAAAGCATTATGCTAAGTGCTGGGGACACAAATAGAAAATCAAGATAGCTCCCTGCTCTCTAAGAGTTTGCATTCTGTCAAAATATTGCAGAGATACCCTGTTCTCTAGAGCTAAGGCCCAGCAAGCAGTCTGTGTTCTGAACCTGGCATAACAATAATCCTTTGCACTCAGATTGATATCACCTTCTGGCAAAGTGTATTGCTTAGACTGGCACCAGGTGTTCACTAAGGAAGTTAGCTCCCCTTATTTCCTGTCCATCACATGTTCACAGTCTCTGTTCCTTGTCACTGACAGGTATTGCACTCTTGTTTCTGTCATAGAACTATGGTTCTATGACCAGCAGTATGGTCATGACCCCCAAGACTTGAGACAATGTCTGTTCCCACAGGGCCCAAGAATGCCTGTATTGTCCCAAGAAATGCTAACCATGAGAACTATCTCAGCATCTAAAAATGATTATGTCAAGGTTCAGCCTAGGATGTATATAAGACCTCCCTTTAGTACAGCCTGTTAAGCCCTCCTTCTTAGAAGGGGAGGCTTCCATATGCATATGTCATTTTCCTCATTCTGAAATTAATTAAACTTCTGTTTTGCATCCTGACTCTCCTGTCTCTGGCTTGCTCTGTTTGTTTGGTTCTGGCTACTCATAGGTTAGAGGCTGGCTTCTGGTCCAGTTGACAATTTTAATGACTGAATGATGCATATGGTAATTTCAGCTACGGATCAGATGGAAAAACCCCTGAGGGCTTTAGGATGCAATGACCAGGCATATGATAAAGCATTTCATTTAACATAATTTCTATTGATAAAATCAGGCCCTTTTCTGATGTGGAAGCATTTGACAGAGTCAAGGACTTGGCTAACGAGAATTTTCTTTTCCAGTTTTTCAGGAGCTATGGCTACTTATCAGCTCTTTCCTCAACGACTACAATACTGTATGCTCTGCCCTGTCCCATCTACCCCATGTACACATCTGCCCTCCGGCCAGGACCACTGACTTCCAGAGGTACTGGCCACTGACCAGCCCCACCTAGTAACCAAGCTGCTGCTGCAAGTTCTCTCAAGCTACCAAGGTGTAGCTGGGCAACAGCTATTGGTTAATTCAGTGGGAGAAGAGTTGTTTTTGTTTCTGTTTTTAAAAATTGTTTGTTTGTGTATTGCAGTGTTTAGAGTAAAGTAGGACGGGAGGGCATCTGAAGGCAGGGATAATGGTTACTTCTGTCTGGTTTTAGGATTTAAAGCTAAAATAATCATTGGAAACCATCTAGTTTGACCTGACTCCATTCATAAATGAGGAAACTGAGGCTGAGTCATATGATCAGTAAGTAGGAAAGCCAAGATTTAAACTCAGTTCTTCTGACTTCAAATCCTTCTTCAGAGACTATAGGCCAAGGTGACCCACTGCTACCCTCTCCAGGGAACAAGACTGTCATAAGAAAATAATAATAATAATAATAATAATAATTGATGATATTTCTATTTTTTTAAGGTTTATGAATCACTTTCCTCACAACAGCCCTTATGAGGTAGGCAGGACAAATATTCTCCCCCCCCCTTTTTAGGCAATTGGGGTTAATTGACTTGCCCAGAGTCACAGAGCTAGTAATTGTAAAGTGTTTGGTCTCAGGTGGGATTGAAACTCAGGACCTCCTGACTTCAGGGCAGGTACTCTATGCACTGTGCCACCTAGCCCCTTCTTCCCATTTTCTGGATGAAGAAACAAACTCAGAGAGGCGAAGCAATCTGTCCAAAGTTTTACAACTAGTAATGATTCTTGCCCAATGTCACACAAGTAGTAAATAGCAAAGCTAGGATTCAAATTCATGTCTTCTGAGTCCAAATCCAGTCCTCCTACTGTGATACCAGGTGACCTCTCCATTTACAACAATGCCTATAATTTCAACTTTTCACTTGTTCTCAATGGCCAAAGTTGATCCAATCTAGTGTAGTCTAATTGTGCCACTAACAAAGTCACATGGTATATAGCTAGTCATCAAGTGTATTCCACTGTCTCTACCACCTCCCATTCTTTCTTTTTATTTTAAATTTTTTTCTTTTTCTTTTGAACTTAACAGACACCAAATAGAACGCGCATTTGCATGTACATAGTAGATCAGAAAAAAAAGGGATTGTACATGACACTACAGGTCTTCATTATGTATGTCTTGCATTTCTTTTTAACTATATAATAAGATCAAGTTGTAGCTTTCAAATTGTCCTGTTTGAGACTAGTTTTCTTTCTATTCTTTTCTCTCAATTAAAAAAAAAAGATATCTCAATGATCCTCATTTTTTTTCCTTTTCTTTTGTAATGGGTGTCTGGAACACCAACAAGGAACATTTCACAAAATTTACCAGAGATTACTGCTGACTCAGTACTTGAATGGCCTTCCTCAAGCCAAAGGCAAAAAGAAAAAAAGAAAATAAAGAAAAAGGAAAGAAAATCTACTTCTTGTCTCTGAAGAAACAAAAACAAAAAAGCTGGGCCTTGTTGAGCTTCCCCACTCATGTGGTGCTTTCCACTCTCCTAAAAAGGGTTTGGGACCTGGGGCTGACTAGGCATCACCACCTCCCTCTCAGATGAGAAACCAAACTGACTTGACTTGATACCTACATATTGCTTTAGGACCTAGGGAGCTGGGAGTACTTTACCCTTCCCTGGTTTCATTAGAGCCACACTCCCCCTCCCCTCTCCCTTCTGGATCACACAGAATGGGTTAAATCATTGGGTGGGTAACTCCTAAAGAAAAAGAAAATTAAACTTTCTGTCTCAGGAAAGCTGCGACCCTATTTAAATTCCAGTAGGACTTCCCACACAGAAATTTAGAGACTTGAAGGAAGGAAAGGAAAAGGGAAAAAGCATTTATTAAGCATCTAAAATGTGCCACATACTATGCTAAGCACTTTGCAAATATTATCTTATTTGAGCCACACAACAACAAGGTAGGAGTTTTATTATCCCTATTTTACAGTTGAAGAAATTGAGGCAAAGATTCAATAACTTGTCCTAAGTCACACAGCTGGTTAGTATCTGAAGTCAAATTTGAACTCCGGTCTTCCTGACTCCAGGCTCAGTGCTCTGTACAACTTAGCTGTCATAGGGTCATTAGTGTGTTGATAAATGTTTAACAACCAGCTCTCCAGGTGAAGAAAAAATGTATACATTGATTTGTAGCATTTGCTGATTTCCAAACGCTCACACTGAAAATATAACAACTGGCTTTTGGGAGCCCCATAAAGAGTTAGTTTCAGCACATTTAGCCTCAGTCTCAGATAGACTGAAAGTCAATGAGAAACCAACTGTCCTGGGTAAAAACTTTGAGATGATTCAGTGCATAAAGCCATCTAATTGGGATCTGGATACAGTTTCTAAGCATCCTTTTCTATACAGGGCACACCAAAATTTCCCTAAGAGGTCTCTATATGGCAATACTACTAAAAGTACATGCACATTTACTCTATGCTGTATTCCAAAGGCACCAGCAATTTCCCTCAATGAATGTCTGCCACTTCAAGGGCAATCTCAATGAATTGGAAACTCACTTAATAAGACAAATAGGCTCAGATAGTGAAAATAGCAAACGAAGTAAAATAAGTCACAAAGACAGGTAAGCCTCTCAAACAAAGGAACTAAACATTACCAGTTGCTTAGTTGGAATTTTCAGGGACACAGGCAAACTTTACCCCATGTACTTGCAGGACTCAAGGATCTCATAATAAGGCAAGCAATTTAGGCCTGTTTAAATGCAAAAAGAAAAATATGAACAATTTTTCAACTAGGAATTAGCATTCTAATATTGTAAATTCCATATGTCTCACATTAGACTTAATATCAATACTTATACAGAACTCAGTAATATAGCAAGTCTCGATATTTAAATATTCAGTGAATCAACAAATTTAAAGTTTGCAAAATTACCTCAGTGGAGCTGACAATAAAGGAATACACATCAGAAAATGGCTGTGTAATTACAGCCTAAAAAAATTGCCAATTTCTCCAAGGATTCTGGAAACTAAGGTATATTCATTGGTAGAGAATCTCTCCAAAAGTCTCTGCAAATGCAAAGGATCCAGTTTTATGCTAGATGATGTTTTACATGCAGTGTGCACGCTCTGACCCTCTCACAGAATCAGGGTGCCCAGGGGAGATCATGGGATATTTCATCTCTCTGCCACCATTGTCTCAAGCCCCCACTGTCTGTTTTCTACTCATTGTTAAGGGTTAGTCACTGGCATCCCAGTTCCATCCAACCACTTAAAATTGGGTAGGTTTTACAAAGGGATATTTACTTCACAGATATGACAAGAACAAACATATAAGCATTTCCCCAATATCTCAAGGGCATCCTATCCTCTACACTACCTTGGTCTTAAGGTGAGTAAGCTCAGCACTTAGCTCAAATCCCATATCACATTGTTCCCAAGTTCATGTTCGATTACAGTGTGACTGTTAGGTAAGCCTTTTTTCTGGGCTTTGGTACCAAAGGTCACTCCCAAAGAGCACTCTTTTCTCCTTGGGCCATTAAACTCAGCCTGGATCTCAACATTCAGTTTTTGTGTTGCTCACTTTTTTGACCAAGGTGAAGACTCTACTCCCTTGTACCTAGAGCAGAAGAATGAATGAACAGGCTAAGGACCAATGCCCATTTCTCACCAGTCCTATAGCCTTAGAAGGGGAGAAGGTCCTAAGCATTCCTCCCTTTATCGGGCATTGTGGCAGAGTCACTGAGATCCGTGTACAAATTGGGCAAAGAAAGTTAAAGAGGAAGAAGTTAAAGATGACAGGCCTCTATGAATGCCTCCAAAGCCCATCAGAGAGCCTTCCCTTCATCATGTGCTTAGCCCACCTGAACTAGTCACAGAAGCTCTTTATACACTCCACAACATTTCCAACATGCTTCCACCACACATCATCATTTTCCCAGAAACAAGCTTTCCAAACTCTCCATGTAGAGAGGCTGCATTGGCCAAACAGGCTGATGGGATTTGAGTATGCATCAGCCTCACATTACACTTTTTTTGGTGCTATTTTCTGCGCCTTTGTCCTCCTATCCACTTTCTATCAGAGGAGGGATAGGGCAAAACAAAGCCCTTGTAACAAATATGAACAGACAAGCAAAACATTGGCTGTGCCTAAAAATGTCTGTCTTGCCCTGCATTGTGAATCCATCGCTGCTCTGTCAAGAGGAGGCAGCATGCTTCATCATCAGTCCTATGGCTTTGTAATTGATCATTGTATTGGTAAGAGATCTAAAGTCTTTCAACATCCAATCCCTTGTTCAAGAAAAGGAAAAGGCTGCCCATTTGGATGTTTCTGTTTGATCCTTTTACTTTTCTTAGCTTACAAGCATAAGACCATGGGATTTGAGCTGAAGAAGACCTTAAAGATCCTCTAGTCCAATCCCAGAGAAGTTAAATTACTTGAACTAAAGTCACAGAGGTATTTTTTGTTATCATTCAGTTGCTTCAGTCATGTCCAACTCTTTGTGACCCCATTTGGAGTTTTCTTGGCAAAGATACTGGAGTAGTTTGTCATTTCCTTCTCCAGCTCATTTTATAGATGAGGAAACTGAGGCAAACTGGGTTAAGTGACTTGCCCAGGGTCTGATGGTGGATTTGAACTCAGGAAGATCAGTCTTCCTGACTCCTGGTCTGGCACTCTATCCATTGCGCCACCTAACTGCTCCCCTGAAGGTATTAAGGAACATCTAATTCAAATCTAGGTGCCACTACAAGGCATTGAGCTGTCTCAAACTCCTGAGCTGGTGTGATGTCCACCTGCCTTCCTCAGGCACTGCTTTCTGCCTCAGCATGTCCCCCAACCCACAAGAAGGACTACAGTCATCTACTGAGTCTGAGAAGCTCTTTTGGTGGAGCTTGGATCCCTGTTGCCCTGGAAACCCAAAGCCTAACGGATACCTTGTTTGAGAGTGAGTCAGATTTGTCCTCTTACATTTAAGATTCTGCAAGGGTAGATTCACCAGGCTCTGAGGGACCACGTTCAGGGTGGACAAGGGAAGCTCAGATGGGTGGTATGAGCATGTGATATCACAAGTTCCCTTGTTTTCAGTTGGGCCATCTATTTAACAATAATCTCTTTCATCTATACAGAGCTTTATACTTTATCATAGATTTTTTCATAGAAAATTAAAATTGGAAAGAGATCTTAAGACATAGTATACAAAATGTCAGCTGAAAGGGATCTTAAGACTACAAGAAAACAAGACATAGTATTGAGAATGTAACAGCTGGAAGGGAATTTACAAAATAGAACATACAATGTTGGAGCTGGAGGGCACCTCAAGAGATCTAGTCCAGCCTCCCTCATTTTACAGAGGATGTTTACAGACAGAGACCTGAGGTCACAAAGAAAGCCAGAGCCAGGACTTAGAAGTCCATGTCTCTCTACTCTTAAGTCCCCATTCTCTCTGCTGCTTCCTTAGAACCACTGTCACATCCATGATCTTATTTAATCCTCATATCACTCCAAGGAGGTGAAAAGGGCAAATCTGTTTTCTCAGCTGTTAGGATGAGAAGGTTGAATGAGCTGATCTCCAGCTGTAAATCCTGTGATTTTTATTATCCCTCGCTTTACATATGTTGAACCTGAGGTCCAGAGAGATTAAATGACTTTGTCCCTTGCTCTATTCAATATATTTGTCAATGGTTCGAACAAAGGCATGGATGGCATGCTTCCCGAATCTACGCAAAATTGGAAGAGATAGCTAATGACTTAGATGACAGAATCAGGATCTTAAAAAAGACTGGACGGCCTGGAATGATAGATCATGTCTAATGCGACCCATGCTCCAAGGCACTTATCTCAAGGCTTCCTTGGATTGATGAGTTGGGATCCCAGAGTTCAGCTATTATACCCCCTCAGGGTCTAGGGATATCTGTGAAGAGTTAGGGGATGTCTTTTTTTGCAAGCCCCACCCCAACCTAAATCGCACTTACTCCCAAGACTATCTGATGAGAATCAAGCCTTTAGAGTGGGTACTTACCAAAGTGGTATCGAAGAACGGTTCGTACCAACTTTCCCCCACCCAAAGTATATATGATATAATATAATGTAATGCAATGTAATATAACATATATACATGTATATGCATATATATATATACATACATACATATAATATATGTATATATGCGTATACTCTTTCACAAGTGCATACAGTCTGAGAGAAAATGGGGTCAAGCTCAGAGAGCACATGTGTTAAAGGGTAACTCATAGTTCCTAGTTACTTGAAAGTTCTTTCTCCCCTTCAAAGGGTGCTCAAAGGAATTCCCGCCTGATATAGTTTCTTTGTTGGGTTCTTTGTGGAACCAGGAATTTTGGTTCAGTCTGTTCTGAGTTCCCACTGTAGACACTTGGAATCACTTTTGACTTTTTTCTCTCCCTCATTCAACTGGTGGCCCAGTCCTACCCCGCAACATTCCACCTCCGCAACATTTCTCCAATCTGTTCCTTCTCTCCATTCAAACTGCCACCACCTGAGTGGTGGTGATGATGAGCCTTCATCATCCTATGCCTGGAGTATTGTAATAGTCACAGAATATGTCTCCCTGCCTTTAATCTCTCCCCTTTCCAAACCATTCTCTATACAGGCCAAAAAAAAAGATCCTGTTAACACAATTCTAATCATATTACTCTCCTGATTTAAAAAAAAACAAACTCAATGGCTCCCTATTACTTTTTTTTTTAAGGCAGTCAGATTAAGGGACTTGCCCAGGGTCACACAGTTAATAAGTGTCTAAGGCCAGATTTGAACTTAGGTCCTCCTGAATTCAGGGTTGGTGCTCTATCCATTGCACCACCTAGCTGCCCCAAGCTCCCTATTACTTATAGAGTAAAATGAAAATTATTTTACTTAGCATTTAAGGCCCTCTACTATTTGGTACCAACCTGCATTTTGAGACCTACTTCACTTTATTCCCTTGCCACACTCTGTACTTCAGCCAAACTGGCCATTCCACCTCTAGCCTCAGTGCCTGGAGTGTAGTCTCTCCTTCTTCATCTCTGTCTTTTAATATTTTTTTTCTTCAAAGTTTAGAGTGGGTGATTCCACAGAATCACAGAATTTCAGAATTGAAAGAGCCCTCAGAAAATTTCCAGTCCAACTCAACCTCCAACAGGAACATTCTCCAAAATGGTCATCCCACCTCTTCTTGAGGAACCATTCACCACTACCTTCACCTTTGTACAGTCAATCATTAGGCTGCTCGACAGAAAGACATGGTTGTATGTGCACTTGATGGGCACCTCAGGAAACTTTGAAGGTGCTTCAGTACCATTAGGAACCTTCACAAGTTCGTGTTCTGCATTCTGTAAACCTACCCCAAAACAGGCTGTTGATTGATTGATTAACTGGCAAGGGAGGGAAATATATAATTTTTCCCACCAGGTGGCACTACACTCAAGTCGCCAGTCAATTTGTTTCGTAAGTTTGCTTGCGTAAGTTTTCCCAAAGACCAGCATCCAGCTGTTTGATAGAGTTCAGCCTATAAACTCTTATTCTATCTCCTCCCCCTCCTGCCTCTAGTTTCTCTGGCTTCTTGGTGCAGTGGTCTCTAGCCTGAGGTTTAACAGTAAGCTGGGATTATAGAAATGAAATAATTGATCCAAATGTAAAAAGTAGACCAATTTCTAAAGCCCTCACTCCCAATACATAGGAAACCTTTTGCTATCTGTCCACCAGTCTCATTCACAAGACTCAGGTAATGGACTTTTCAGTGGCCACATGGTTTGTTAAAACACAGCCAAAATTTTCCTTCAAATGGAATGTGTTGCCCAATCATCACCCCCAAACTTCTTCCCACACCAGCTAATACTGGGCAAAATTAAGGAAAGGAATTTTGTGTTTGGAATTTGTTGGGATTACTCCACAAACAATGGCCAAATAGGGGAAAGAGCTAGGTTTTGGGGAAGTCTCTTGGTTCAGACTCAACAGCTGCTGAAATCTAATCCTTCTCCCTTCCTGACTCTGCTTTCTGGTCTGTGTCTCTACTACATCTTCATCTCATCTCTACCCCAGAGTTTTTACCTCTGTTGGTAGTATCCAACAATCCAAGATCTGTGCCAGCTCTTCCCCCACTGCTTCAAGCTCAAACTGCAGCAGCTCCATTGTAGGCAACAAGTAGCTGGCAGAGGCCACTGAAATTTCTGTTTCTCTTCTGCTCCTGGCTGTATAGGATGGAATGGAAAGGAAGGTTAATATTCTTTTCATCAGAAACTGGAAAGAGGCAAAAGAAGGAAAGACCAGATTGGGTTGTCCCCACACACAAAATCTTGCCCTATACCCTGATATTTTGTGTGTCTTTATCCTTCTCTAGAGCAATACTGGGGCATTACTACTTCCATAAAACATTTCTCCGGTTCAGTTTCTTCTATGGAGACCCTCAGGAACCCTCCAGTTCCTAAAGAGATAAGACATGTTGCTGACACATGCCACAGAAGACTTCCCTAACAATCTGTCTCTCAACAGCTTCCACCCATCTCTTCCTTGGCCCCCACACGGCCAAGCAGATCAAATGTAATTTCACTTCCATATGGCAGCTCTTCAAATGCTTGAAGATGGCTATCAAGCCTTTCTTAAGGTTTCCTGTTTCCAAGCTAAAAAATTCTCAGTTCTTTCTCCTAATCTCTCTATGACATGGTTTCCAGTCATCTAATTATCTTGGTTACCCTCCTCTGCATTTGCTCCAGCTCCTCATTGTTCTTCATAAAATAAGTTCTTTATCACTATGGCAAGGAGGGAAATAACCAAAGAAGAGATGGAATAGGTCATAAAAAAGAAAAACAGGCAATTTCAATTACACAAAATTTTCAAAGCTTTTGCTTTTCAAATAATAAAAATGAAATAAATCATAACATATAAGCAATAGATTATAATATAGTATTAAATAATACCTTTTAAGTAATAAAAATTAAAATGAATAAAAACAATGGAGACAATAAAACCTGAAACTGCCAAATGGAAAAAGATATTTGTATTAAAACTGTTTTTCCCCCCAGACCTGTGATTTTATTCTTGTTGGGTATTCCTGTCAAGGAAACGCCTTTGAGCAATCCTCAGCAATCATATTCATCAGTTCTTTCACTAGGGTCCCTTCTTAACTTGTCTTGTGTTTTAACTCTCTGTTAATAATGTTTGTTCTATTCGCAGTACAAAGATCTTGTTCCTTTGGCAGAAAAAATAAACAGCATTAAGTAGTTTAGCCTTCTTTCCATTTGCCCCAGTAGCAATCCTATCCCTTCTTTGATCCTCTTCTTTTTAGAGCTTAAAATAAAAAGCTCCTTTAATTACAGTTAGCATTTGTTATCAATCTGCTTAGCCAAAGCTTTAGTACTTCTGACATTCTTACAGAACTGCATCCTTTCACTATTAATTCTCAATTCCTTTCTCTTGCTTCCATCTTCTACACATGTATTTCAAAAAAATTGAAACTGGTAAATTAGTACATCCACAGCAGTCTTTATAGACAGCCCCTCCCTTTTCTTCCTTGTTAGAAGAGTTTGTATTTGTGTCTTTGGAATTTCATTCTTGAGAACAAGCTCTTGGAGCAACCTATTTTGTCTCATTTCAGCCCATAGGACCCTACCGATCTTTTGTTTGAACCCTTTAAAATTGGTTTTCTAAAACTCTAGAGTACGTTTCAGATGATGCCTAGATTTCCTCTCCTTTTTCATCCTGCCTTCTAAGGTACAATACTCACTTTTCCAACCTCTCTTTGGAAACCAGTTCCTCTTTATTGGTCAAAATCAGGTTCAGAGTAATAGTTGGTTGCCTTTGTTGATTCCTTTACCTTTCGAAGAATAAGGTAAATCAAGGATTTATCAGTTTTACTCTGCTTTTGGAAGAGAGAAAAAGGGCTCTAACAGACATCTGACAAAGTTCCCCACCATACTTCCGTGCTATATTTTCTATGTTTCCTGAATTCTTTGTTTATGTCCTCCTTCTGTCCAGGTGGCTAACACTATACTCCCAGAACTGCATTACTTCTGTTTCTCGTTCTGTTTACTCTTAACTGAATGTTCTCCATTAGGCTTACCTACCCTGGCTCCTGGATTTCTTCAAGTGATGATATTGCCTTAACATACAAAGCTATTCCAACTTTTTATCTAATCTACTCTTTTGAATATGGAATATCTTGCCAAAAATCCATCTTTTTAACACTAATATTCTCCTGGTAATGCTATGTGGCTACGAAACATGGAACTATCTTTGAAGCATCAAAACTATGAGTGACTCAGAGGTCAATAAAGAAATGTATAGTGGGAGCAAGAAGGCTTGCAGAGCATTCATGGGTACAAGAAGTGATATAAAAGACATCAACCAGAGTGTATGATAGAGAATTTGCTATGGAAGATTTATGGGAGACTGTAGACAAAAATCATAGAGGAAGGTGTATTGTAGAAAGAAAATCTACCTTAGAAGATTTATTGAAAGCCTTGGACAAAAACCATATAGGATGAGGTGTGAATGAGTTGTGAAATGTACTGTTGGAGGAGATATCCACATTCAGTGAGCTCACAGATGCACTGAAGAGTGGAAATGTGCCCTTCTATAGCCATATTCCTTTTGAACCTTGTATACTTTTCCATTGTCATATTCTAGTCGTGATTCCCAGGCCACAAAGACTCAGTGATACCCATGAGGATGGATGTGCTGCCTTTCATTAGGATCTTCAGTTCTCCTTACCTATTACCCATACTCTGGGCATTTGTGTATAGAGACCTTAAGCTAACCAGTTTTATTGCTGACTGTTCTTGGGTATTGTTTTCTGTGAACTATTACTCCATCCTACTGATATTCTTCTACCTTCACTGTACCTGCTACCTTCTGTGATTTATGGTTGGCACTTACATAGGGGAAGTTTTCTCCATCTATTCTCTTTAATTTAGAGCCCTCCTGGTCAGATTCCTCTTTGAAGCCTTCCTTGATCCACCTAACTGAAAATAATGTCTTCCTCCTAAAAGTTTCTCAGAGTCCATTGCCTAGATCTCTCCTTTGACCCCATCATATCCTACTCTGCAATATATTTATTATTCATCTCCTAGAGCAGGGGCTTTAAATCAGGGACCCACAAATTTGGTTTTAAAACCTTTGATGACTATATTTTAGTATGATTATTTTACTTTGTAATCTTATGTATTTTATTTTATGTATTGAAAAATATTTTTTTCTGAGAAGTGATCCATAGGCTTCATCAGACTGACAAAGGGCATGTGAAGAAAAACACTGTTTGCACCCTATAGGTTTACTAGGCTCATATCCCACCACCACTCCTTCAAAGGATATGGGTCTTATGTATTTTATTTTATGTATTGAAAAATATTTTTTTCTGACTGAGAAAGGGGTCCTTGACAAACAAAAATATTATGAGCTCCTGCTGTGGTAGAATGTAAGGTCTTTCAGGACAAAGACTCTGTCATTTTTCATTTTGGTATCCCCATCACCTGCACAGCACCTTACACATCATATTTGCCTGGTAAATGTTTGTGGAATTGAAACCAATTGAACAGTCCATGAGGAATTAGCCCAGGCACCACTGTCTCCCTAGAGGCATCTTACCTGGATTTCTGGCTTAGTATCTAAGAGGATATAACCCATGGAACTTAGTCTTGTGAACCCAGTTTCTCTAATGATCATAGCAGTCACAGAGAATATAACTCTTAGCACTCAAAGTGGAGTCCCAGACTTATAGACTTGTGAGGGTATTCGAGGTCATGCTATAAAGGTATTTTGAGCCCCTCACTGAGGAAGCCACATGAATTGGAAATAGTGTGAGTCCCATATGGTCTCCTCATCATCAATTAATATTGATTGAATGGCCATACACTGCTGGGAAACCATACAACAGCTGTCTGGGAAACACAAAAAAAATTCCTTTAAAAATTATTTTTGCCCTTTTCTCCTCACTTCTTTCCCCTATTTCTCTCCTTTCCTCCCTCTCTTCCTCCTTCCTCTCCTCCTTTCTTTTTCTTCTTTCTTTTTCTTTCTTTCTTTTTCTTTCTTTCTTTCTTTCTTTCTTTCTTTCTTTCTTTCTTTCTTTCTTTCTTTCTTTCTTTCTTTCTTTCTTTCTTTCTTCCTCTCTCTCTCTCTCCCTTCCTTCCTTCCTTCCTTCCCTTTCTATGCCTGCCTGGAAGAAGTCTCCTGGAAAATCCACAGGTCCTATGCTTTTGACCAGGAAGGAGTCAAGTGAGGTTTAAGACCCATATCCTTTGAAGGAGTGGTGGTGGGATATGAGCCTAATAAACCTACAGGGTGCAAACAGTGTTTTTCTTCATATGTCCTTTATAGTTAATTTGGGTATTTATAATAGTCCAAATGACTTATTTGCTCAAAGTCATTCTTAAAACAATATTACTGAATAATGAGATATATATATATATATATATATATATATATATATATATATATATATATTAACAACACATATTTGTTTCTAATGGTAGCCATCTCTGGGGGGAGGGGGAGGGAAGAAAAAAGTGAAAAAAAGAAATTTACATGAAAATCTTATTATATATTTAAAAGGAATAGCAAGTTGTACACAACAGATTTGCAGTTTCATGTACAATCATCTTTTTTATTATACTATGTTATGGAATTGCTTGTTTGATTAAAAATCAAACAAATCTTCAGGGTGGAATGGGATTCCAAGCAAGAGAAAACTTAGGATAAGGCTCAGAGTCGAGAGTGAGAGATTTGGAACTATTATTCTTTTCCTCCAAACCCACCATTTTGTTGTTGTTATTCAGTTGTGTCTGACTCTTCATGACCCCATTTGGGGTTTTCTTGGCAAAGATGCTAGAGTAGTTTGCCATTTCCTTCTCCAGCTCATTTTACAGATGAGAAAACTGAGGCAAACAGGGTTAAGTGATTGGCCCAAGGTCACATAACTAGTAAGTGTCTGAGGCCAGATTTAAATTCAGATTCCTGACTCCAGCCCAGTGCTCTATCCTCTATGATATCTCCATCCCAAGTGTTCAAATGGGCTAATTGTACCCAACCTATGGCAGAGCCTTCAAAACTCGTTTTGGACTGGTCAGCCACAGTCTGATGTCATTGGTCCTCTTTGAGTAGGAAGGATGAACAGCAACAGGAGGTTTGGATGGAATGTGTGAAGGAGTGTGTGTGTGTGTGTGTGTGTGTGTGTGTGTGTGTGTGTGTGTGTGTGTGTATGACTGAGTTTCTGTATGTACCAAAATGGGATACTTTCTCACCAGAATTTGGAGGGAGTCCATCAATTCATTTCCCGATATTCAGTGAGGCTGAGCAGACTTAGCAAATGCATTCCAGTATCAGTCAAACCAGATTAGCCCTGTTTTGGGCCGGGGATGCATTTAAAACAAAGAAAATGAAAGGTTTCATGGAGTAGTGGAATGAGTACAATTACCCTTCTGCCACCAACTGTGTGACCTTGGGCAAGTTACTTCTTTCCTAGGTCTCAGTGTCCTCCTCTGTTATATGAGATGTTTGGCCCTTTTCAATGATAAATGCTATGATCTCTGATCTCTGTCTTTGTCTCACTTTCACACTTCAGACAACGAAAGATCTAGCTGCTGAGACAAAAAACATTCCTGATCAGAGTGGGAATAGGAGAGAGGGAGGGAAAGGAAGGGAAGCCCTCTGGCCTGGTAGCTACAGGCCTGAAAAGAACAGAAGATAGGTTGATCTTCAAGGTCCCCAGGGGCTCTGTGATTTCAAACACGGTTCTATCCAAAGAGCACAGGTCTGTAAAGATAATCCTGCTGTACCACAGATCATGGAAGGAAGAGCTCTCTCCCCTCCCCAAACGTCCCAGATGGGCTACTCAAGTTTTGACTTGCAGGATCACCCTCTCACCACCTCTAGGGCTGACATTCCAGCTGAGACAGTCCCCTCCTCACCTTCACCGATACAGAAGAGAAGCTAAGAGAAGCATATCCGTTTTATCTACATGGTGTGTTGGGGGGGGGGTAGGCGTCGGAGGCAGATGTCAAATGCCATTGCTACAAAGTTGACTATTCATAATGGTCCAAAGGAAAGGGACTTTTGAACACTAGCGCTCTACCTCCCTCGGACTGAATTTCTAGAGTGGGTACCTGGGAAAGGAACTCTATTCCCATTCTGCCTAAAGGGGGCGCCCGGGGCCCACCCCACTTCAGTCTACTGGAACCCAAGGGACTTCTACCTATCTGGTCCCCTCAATCTTCGGGCCCCCTCCTTCCTAGCTCTCTTCATCCCCCTCTCAGTCCTCACTCCCTCCCCACTCCTATCACGAGGGTGGGTGTAGAGCCTCAGTAGCCTGCTGCCTGGGGGCTTTGGGGCTGGGTCTGCGGAACTAACAGGCAGCGCCGGAGCTCAAGCTATAAAGGGTGGTTGGTGCAGACAGGGACCAGACAGACAGCAAGGGTGTCCCCAAGTCCTCTCAGACCTGCCCTGGGGACCCTGGAGGAGGAGAAAGGTGGTGGTGGTGCTATTAAACTAGGCTCACTGGGGTTCGATAAGTGCAGTGGCTGGTGCAATAGACCCCCTGGGACCCTCCAGGAGAGCAAGACACCCCGCCCCGACAATATCTATTCTCCACCCCCCGGCCCCAGTCTCCCGGGGCCCAGCGGTCCACCAATAGCCTGAGGAGGTGAGGACCCACTATCCGGCTCGCTGACTCCGCTACTCCGTAATTTCCAGCTCCCCTCCCTTCTCCCCTCCCGCCGCCACGGTCAGCCACACACTGGGCGCCCAGCTTGCCCCGGTCCCCTCGCAGGTACGTAGGGCTCCGACTTGAGCTCGAGCTTCCCCCAGGCTCCCTCCCTTCAGGGTGCCTGGCGGGGCGGCGCCGGGGGCTGCGGGGAGAGGAGGAGGAGGAGGAGAAGCAGAAGGAGGTGGAGGGTAGAAGGAGGAAGGAGAAGTGCGGAGCCGGCTCGGGCCGCAGCTGGGCTAGGCTGGGCTCTCCGGGATTGGAGCTACAGGAGAGAGGCCAACAAGGCGGGCGCCTGGTCCCTAGGCATCCCGGGCCCAGGGTGTAGGGTGGGAGGAAGGGGGTAATAGCCTGGTCACCCGATTCTTTTGTACCTGGGTTAGGGGCAGCCGAGGCGGCGCGTGGCCCCTGGACAGGTACGCTCCGGGGCTGGGAGAGGCGCAGATTTGTTGTCCTTGGCTGGGGGAGGGGGCGGCAGCGCAGCGCCTAGAGAGGCGAGGGATGCTCCGAGCCTCGAGTTTGGGGGTGCTGCAGCTAGGGGGGTTCCCCCGCCCCCTCCTTCCCCGCACCTCCCTGACCTCGGTCAAGAGGCAGAAGGGCGCCACGGCGGGAGGACAGAGGGGCGAGGGCGGAGCCGGCGGCACCGAGCGCTCCGCACTCAGGGGCTTGTTCCGAGCCCCCTGGAGCTCAGACCTCGGCTGTAGTCCACGCGTGGCCTCCCCGCGCACCTGGCCCATGTCCTCATCCTCCTGAGGCCGCCGGCCGAGGACAGCTGCTGGTGATACCAAGCTGCCCCCCCCAGGCCCCCCCCCCCCGGGAGCTAGGAGCAGGGCCCGGGATGGGCAGGTAGGAGGAGGACAGGACGAAGGGGGTGTGAGCCAGTGAAGAAGGGAGGATACAAGCGTGTGTGTGTGTGTGTGTGTGTGTGTGTATGTGTGTGCAACTTCCCGGTCCTGGATGTGTAACTAGTGTGTATCACTCTGCGTGAGTGTGTATACCTTTATCTATCTTTGTGTGTGTGTCCCTGCCTCTTCGAGTGCGACAGAAAGGGTATCTATGTGCGTGTGTGTCTGTATCTGTTTTTTTTAGTCAGAGAAGCTCTATGTGTTTATGTCTCTTTGCATGTGCAGGAGAAGGTATTTCTGTATGTATTGTGTGCTTTTAGATCTATGTGTGAGAGAAGTTATCTGTGTGTGAGAGAGACATCTGTATATGTCTCTCTGTGAGATCCCATATCTTATCTTTGTGTGTATCTGTGACAGCGTGAGTAGTAGCTGACATTTACACAAGGCTTTAAGGTTTGCAAAGTGCTTTACATACATACTCTCATTTGATCATCACCCCAACCCTGGGAGGTAGGTACTACCGGTATTATTGTCCCCATTTTACTCATAAGAAAACTGAGGCTCAGGGAAGTTAAGTCACTTACCTATGATCACATAGCTAGTAAAAGGTAGAGGCAGAATTTGAATGTCTTTTTGACTCCAAATCCAGCCCTCTATCCATTACACCACACATTTATTTATGTATTATGTCTGCCCTTGTAAGTGTACCTCTATATGGGAGTATATGTAAAACACTGTTGTTGTCTTTATGTGTCTCTGTATGAGAGTGTCTTCTCTATGTGGTTATGTTTCTAGGGTGCATGTGTGTATCTGTGAGTCTGTGTATGTGGGTCTGTGTGTGAAAATGTGTGATAGCTTCAATTTGGATCAGGGCTATTTTGTCTCTGTCATTCTAAGAAAAAATAAAAAGTTCTGAGCTGGGACTGGGTGAGATGCCAATTTAGATGATGCTGATGAATTAGATTACCTCTTGCCACAAGAAGCTTTCTCAGCCAAATGTGTGTGTGTGTGTGTGTGTGTGTGTGTGAGAGAGAGAGAGAGAGAGAGAACGTATGTACGTGTTTAGAAGGTGGGGATAGGATATGATTTTCTGGGCCATCCTCAGACTGGTGCCAGTGGAGGGTATGTGGGCTTCCCTGTGCCCTGGGAGACAGACAAGGCTGAAGGCCCAGAGGAAGACACAGTGGCTCCTACAGTTTCCATTTTCCTTTTCTGAATAGATCTCTGTCTGGCACACATTGTACAGAGTAAGCTACTGAAATCAGACCCCACTGGATGCAGCATGAATTTAGAAAGGGTTCTTTTGAAGGGAACACTTTCTATCTGGGGTGTCTAGTCAGCCCGCCCAGACATACATGTACAGGGCCTGTAGATAAACACTGCTATAAATAAGGATGGTTGGTCCTAAGAGTCTAGAATAGAGCTTGGCTTGCAGTCAGGAAATCCGGGTTTGAGCCCAGACTTTACCACTAACTCCTATGACCTTGGGCAAATCATTTCCCCTCTCTAGGCCTTAGTTTCCTCTTCTAACCCCCTCATTTTACGATCTGTAAGTCTAGGAATTTCTGCAGCTTCTTGGCCACCATCCAAACTAAACAGTGTTTATGGGTGCTCCATCAGATTTAAGACAAAGGCAAGAGTGAAAAAGGAAATAATAGTAATGAAAACATGGTTTACAAAGTAGTTTCCTGATAGCAACCCTGTGAAGTACCTTAGCAGAAGTATTTCTTCTTTTTTACTGGATTTGTGACTTTATCTGTGGAAGCAGCTACATATGAGCAGCTACTCTGCCAGTATAGATTGGCACCTTTTCTGCAACTCAGATGGTTGCCTGAGGTGGCTGAGAAGTTAAGTAATTTGTCTGAGGTCACACAGTATATATCAGAAGTCAAATTTGAACTCAGGTCTTCTTACTGTAAGGCTAGTTTTCTTACTTATCACAATAGGTTCAGTTTCCATATAAATATTATTTTCCCCATAAACAGATGAAGAAGTTGAGACTTTGAGAGGTTTATAATGACTGGTGCATCGCCATACACCTTATGCGTGTTTGAGCGCAGAAGCAAACCCATATCTCCCATCTTCAGTGGCCTTTCTATAGAGAGAGAAAGGAACTAGGAAGATAAAGTAGGAGGAAAGGAAGAGAAGAGAGAAAAACCAAGAACAAAAAGGCATAAAGACTGGACCATGGTGGAGAAAGAACCATTAAGAATCATCTGGGGTATCTGTTGGTAGTCCTAACTAGATTAGTGGCATTGTGGTGAAGTGGAAAGACCCACGGATGTTGGAGCCAGAGACCATGGGCTTGAATCCTGGGTCTATACCCATGTGACCCAAGGCAAGTCATATAACCCTTCATTTAACCTATTTATCTATAAAACAAGTGTAACTGTGTGGCACAATGGAAAGAACACTAGATTTGGACTCAGAGAATCTAGGCCTCGAAATTGGTTGTGTTGCTACTTGTGTGATTGTGAGTAAATAACCTCTCAGGGTCTTAGTTTCCTCATCTGTCAAATGAAGGGGTTAGATTAGATATTACTAAGGTCCCTTCTAGCTTTAAATTTATGATCCATTCTATACGAACTGTCTGTGTCATTGTCCTGACACTACTGTGGGGAATGAGCTTTTGTAAAAGTGCTACGGAAATGTGACTGTGAGTTCTTGGGCTCATAATAGGGAGAGACTTCCTTGTCTCCTTGAGGCTGGACACAACACAAGGAGACATTTCTTGATAATGATTTGAATTCCAGCTACCTGCCCTGCCATAGAGACCCTTGTTGGGATACAGTCAAGCTACTTGGCTTGTGGTCTTATCTCAGCCATTCCCCTGTGGTGTGATTGGGGATTTTGTCTCCTAATTTGTAAAATGGGTGGTGGTGGTAGTGGTGTGTATATGTATGTGTGTGAGGGGTGGGGTGAGAGGTGGGGGGGGGAAGGATTACTGCTTTCTTTCTCCCCTGGAAGGAGAGAATGCTGAATGTGGTAGACATGTGAAATGCTTAGTATATACTCCCTTTTTTCCCCCTGTAACTTCAAGACTTGGTGAATAAAGGATTCCTGAAATGGGTGGGGAGTTGACCTAGATGACCTGTAATGACCCTTCCAGCTCTGGGATTTGAGGGTCTCATTTCTTTATGAAGCATCCTTTTCAATCTCTCACTGTCTCTGTCTCTTCCCCACCTCACCTCACCCTCTCTTCTGAATAACATTTCAACCAGGAAATACCTGTTTGTGTCTGGGTGAATCTGTGACTGTGCCTATGTGTCCGTGTGCATGATAACATCTATGTACATATTTGTGTTCAGATATGTGGGCCTGTCATTCAGATACATGGCCATATTTGAGTATAGCTGTGCCTACAAATGGACATTAGTTGTTGATGTAGGGGAAGAAATGATGGGGAAGCAGCTTGATGTAGTAGAAAGAGGATTAGTAGGCAAATCCTTTCCCCATGCCTCAGTTTTCTTATCTGTAAAATGGGCATACTAGTACTTCTCCTCCCCACTCAGAGCTGTTGTAAGAGTTAAATAAGATAATGGATCTAAAGTGTTTTATAAACCTTAATGTGTTAAATCAAGCCAGCTGCTAGTAGTGTCAGGTCTTCTCCACTTTAAGTCCTTCAGTGCAGGTCCTAATGAGCTGCAGAAGTTCTTTTAGTCTGATGACAATCTGTGCCTCTTCTGAAGGCCAGCTTGGCTAAGTATATAGGGACAGTCACCTGGTGATAAGTACTCTCAGCCACAACAGCTGAGGAAAACCAACTTCTAAGCTGTAGTAGGGTCCTGAGCTGCCCCAGGGGAATTTGAATGCATCCAGTTGACAACCAATCTTCAAAGTATTCTAAATATTTCTGTGTGTTTGTGTATAGGCATATGTATTGTACTTTGCTCTGTGTGTGTGTGTGTGTGTGTGTGTGCAAGTATACATGTGTGCATGGAATATGAGGCTCCCTTCATTTGCTGAGATATCTTTCTAAGACAGAGACACAACTTTTGCTCCCTTTCCTCTCTGTCCTTGCCTGGTTTGTTCTGTCTTCCAGCCGCTGAGGGGTTAAGAGGGATGAACTGGATAACTACTTTCCAATGGCCTCCTCTTCCTCCCTGGAACTAAGGACCCTTGGCAATGGGCCCAGGGCCCCCAAACAAACACTCTCACAATGGACATCTGCACCAGAAAAGAGGCCCAGCCCCTCAGCCCTGCAGAAAGAGGGAATTGAGAATACTTGCTTTTCCGAGGAGGAGGAACAAGAGACCTGTTTCAAGAATCCACAGGAGGCTGTGCCCGGCAGTTCATCCTGTCCATATGTGGATGGCCTCTCACACCCCCATTCCCGGAGGGACGACCTTTCTCCAAGGTCAGAAGAAGGCTTGGGGGCCGAGACTGCAGGCCACTCAGTGGACTATGGCTTCATCTTTGCCTTGGTCTTCTTGGTGAGTGGAATCCTGTTGGTGGTGGTAGCCTATGCTATTCCCCGGGAAGCAAGAGTGAACCCAGACACAGTGTCAGCCCGGGAGATGGAAAGATTGGAGATGTATTATGCCCGCCTGGGCTCCCATTTGGATAAGTGTATCATTGCTGGCTTGGGCCTCCTCACCCTGGGAGGCATGCTGCTCTCCATCCTACTGATGGTGTCCCTTGTCAAAGGGGAACTCTACCGGAGGAGAAACTTAGCTGTACCCAGAGGCCCTCGGAAAACCTATGGCTCTATAAACTTGAGAATGAGGCAGCTTAATGGGGATGGGGCCCAGGCCCTGGTGGATAATGAAGTTGTCCAGTTGACAGAGACTCACCCAATCCAGCCAGACACCTTCACTTCTCTCTCTCCTCCCTCAAGCATGTGTGATGATGGCACAGCCTGTGGGTAGTACAGTTGCTACAGGAGAGGGTAAACTGATAGCACAGGTTTGCACATCCCGTCAGTGTCTAGACTCCATCTTTACTCCCTTTGGAGAAGATTATTTACGTGGACAACTGGTCCTGGAGTCCCAGGAAAAACAAAGCTTTCTGGGTGGGGTCACAGTATATCCTAAGGTAATGAAAGGTACCATCAACAAGGTTGTGCTAAGGGTCACAATCCAGTCCAATGGTACTTCACTACCAGATATTTCCAAGTGGGGTTCAGTCATGGAAAGAACTTCAAAGCGGCTAACAGTTACCTGTGCCATATTCTAGGCTCCATCCTCATGGAAAACGATGATTTGTAACCAGCAGTTGCCTATTCCTCTTACCCAACTTCCAAAGTGAGGCAGTCATGATCTCCTGGCCTACCCTTACTGCATAAAAGCACAGGGTGGTCTTGTTTCAGATCTTAGGGTCTAATTTTCTGCAGTGACATAAGCAGTGATTTCTTAGCAATAGTGACTTCTTAGCAAATATTTCAGGGGCACAGACTTGAGGCAGACCTGAGGAATACAGTTCCCTTTAATACAAGAAGCATGATGTGTTTGGGGGCATTTCATGTGATGAGCAAGTGTTTCTCTTCTTGGCAATGCCCACTATGATTCTAGGAGAAGAAAAGAAAGATAGATATTGAATCATAAACCTTCCCTGTACTAGCAAAATGCCACCCTAATTTCTTTTAGGGGAAAAAATGTTTTGGCCATCTCTCCAGAATCATCCCATTTCAGAGCTAATCACACTTCCATACACTCCACTTTTCACACAGGATTTCCTTCACTCTGGTCCTAGTTCCAGATACTTTCCACTGCTTTTGGGAGAGAATGACTCCAGTACTGAAAGGAACTGGATCTTTGGAGAACTGAAGGAATGTTAAGCTAGAAAGCAAGAGATGAAATCCTTTTTGAGACTCCCTCAAAGGCAGAGAGGGCTGGAAAGATGACAAGCACATTTTATTTTATTTATTTATTTTTACTGCATGGATGGCTTAAAGTCAGATTTCCTGGAACTTGAAGAGTCTAGAGACGTTCTCTAGTCCATTCCATTTTCTCACGGCCGGAGTGCATTTACACTATCTCCCAAATGATGAAGGGTCTAGAGATGTTCTCTAGTCCGTCTCCAAAGATCTGTAGGAAGTAAAGGTGGTTTATAAGAGTTAATAAGGGAATGGCTCTGACAGATAAAATATCCATTTCTGTTTCTGGTTTAGAAGTTGTTCACAGAGTCATAAAATATGAGAACTGAAGGAGGGATTTATGGACCATTTAGTCAAGTTCAGCTGGATTTGGTTCTGATATGTAAAGGGGGTGTGGTTGACCAAGACCAATGCCTTGGGACAATAACATTTTCTCCAACACATATGGGGTTCCAAATTCTACAGTGCTCATGGGGTTCCATGAGTATATCAGTTACTTCTTAAGTTCAATGAGGACTGGCCAAGTCCCCCAGTTTACAGGAGCTCTCATAGTTAAGCTACAATAGAATGTAAAGTAATTTTAACCTGGTGTCCTCATGAAGGGATATAGACCTCTCAATCCAACGATAAAAAATAAAAATAAAAATAATCATACCAATTGTATGAATTTCTGTGAAAGGAGACCTCTTTGGGGAATAAACCTGTTAAATCTGGGACCATCAATTCATATCAATTTAGCTGTGATGAAATGGGTTTAGGGGCTGTTTAAAGATTAAATCCGAGTCTTAGAAATTTGCCTTGCATCCTATTGCAAAACTGCTCAAGAGAAAGCATTTAATGGAATTAGGCAGTTACCTCATAAATAATAATATATAATCCCTCACATTTAGTTAGTACTTGACTGTCACAAAGTGTTTTTTACTTATATCTCATTTTATCCTCACAATCCATCTGTTAATGGATAGCGTGAGTACTAAGACCTCCATTTTATAGATAAAAGAAATTGAGGCTTAGAAAATGAGAGAAGCTAGAAAACTCCAGAGTCCCAGCCCTGTTGTGACTACCTTCCAACTGTTTCTATGATGTGTCTAACCTATTTTGGGTCATCTGCCTGTGGGAGATGGGAGAGGAAATAGAGGGAGCAACATGCCCCCATTGAAACTGTTGGGGAAAGAACCATATTTTAAAACTCATTTTTTTTCTGGGCAGCTGGGTGGCACAGTGGATACAGCACTGGTCCTGGATTAGGAGGACCTGAGTTGAAATCCGGCCTCAGACACATAATACTTACTAGCTGTGTGACCCTGGGCAAGTCATTTAACTCCATTGCCTAGAACAACAAAAAACAAAAAAACAAAATAAACAACAAAACTATTTTTTTAAATGGAGAGGACCCCAGAAATCATATAGTGCAACTCCTTTATTTTTTATAGATTCAGCTCAACTTAAACACACACACACCCCAACAACATTAAGTGCCTACTATGTTTAAGGCACTGTGCTAGGATCTAGGGATAAAAAAACAAATGTGAAATATGATTTTGAATAGAATTCTGTACTTGGAGTCGGGAAGACCTGACTTCTTGTCCTAATCAGAATTTAATTTGACATTTATTAACTATGTGATCAAAGGCAATTCACTTAATCTTTCTGAGCCTCAGTTTCCTTATTTATAAAATGTGAATAGCTACCTAACAAGGAGGTGAAAATTAAATACATCAAAATTTTCTTTCACACCTTAAAGTATTGTATAAGCCAGTCATCATCGTAGTCATCATCATCACCACCACCACCACATTTTGTAGGCCTAGAGAGATTAAATGACTTTCCAAGTTCACACAACTAGTGAGTAGCTGAGCCTATCTTGAAATCCTGGTCCTCTGACTCCAAGGCCAGTGCTCCTTTAACTCTGCTGTGCAAGGGAATGACCTATTACTAGCAGTTTTCAGAAGGTTAATCTGGGAATGGTCCTTCCAGTACAAAGGAAGAATAAGAAACTAGATGACTTTTCACAATCCCTGTGAAAATAACAAATACTTGGAATGGTCTCTCCTGAAGTTTCTCTCATTGGGCTGTTTCTCTAACATATTAATTCCAGACTTTTCTTCCCTGGCCCCAGCCCGAATCTCAGAGAATTCCTTTCGAACTTTCAACCCATCTCTGCCTGTTAAAGTCCCTTCCTTTCTTCTAGGAATTCTTCCTTGACCCAGGCCCAGAATCCCCCATGTGAAAGTGATTTTTATTCCTTTTCTGAATTTCTCCTAGCACTCTGTCTGGACATCTCTCCTCACTCTTTCTTGTACCACAATTATTTGTGTATTTGTCTCTTTTATTTCCCCAATAAGACTGTAAGCTCCTTGAGAGCAGAGTTTGTCATACCTGTTACAGTAATCCTAGACCCAAGTGTAAGGCATTACACCGCACCCTCTACCATCCATGTCTTGGATGAGACTTCAAGTTCTTGCTTTTGGCAGAAGCTACTTTGTCCCTGAAACTTCCTTTGTGCAGAGGGAACCAAATTTGTCTGGGTAGAGGGAGGGCAGGGAAGTAGGCAGAGGCTTTTTGTTTTTTTAATCTGAATTTCCACTTCATCGGATTTAAGACTGGAAGGGATTTTAGAGATCATGGAAGTTTAAAGGAAACGAACGCCCACAGAGGACAAGTGACTTATCACTCCACAAGTACTAAGCAGCAGAACCAAAATTCAACTCCAGGACATCTGACTCCAGACCCAGCATTTCTTATTAGTGCAAACAGCAGGTGCTTAACAAACATGTGAGGATTGAGTTACATGCCTCCCCCTCCCCACCCCTGGGTTCACCTTGCAATTGCCTCTACCAAACAGCTGTCTGGTATTTGGTGGACCCCTTTTCCCACTCAGCAGATCTTAAAGACTCATGGGAAAGTGAAAGCCCAAGAAGCAGAGAGGACTGACTGACATAATTTAGCTTTCCACAACCACTGCTAAATAACCATCCAGAGCTCTGCCCCTCTGAGCTCTCTCAGTCTCCTCTAAGCTACCTCATTACCCATTTTCTGAGGACCCAATTCCCTCTGGCCTCTTCCGATTCTGACTAAAGGACCAACACAGTATCCTTTTTAGAAAATGTTCCAACACAGGAGATTCTCTGCCAGAAAATGCTAGTTTAGTGATGAAGTTCTCTTTTTCTCAGGAAGCCATGGGCCACACTGTTCCCTGAATGTGACCTCAGCATATTGATTTTTTGCTTTAACCGTCACCCCCACCCCTAAGCTTCATGTCCTGGATGAAGCCACAAGTCTTTGCTTTTGGCAGAAGCTACTGTGTCCTTGTGGCTTCCTCTGTTCTAAGAACACAGATGGGGTAAGAGATTAAAGGCTTTTCTTTTCCTGGGTTCCTGGCATCTAATGTTGGCCCTTCGAATCCACCCTTCATGTGTCACCAGATCCATCTTCTGATAACACTGCTTCCAAAAGGTCCCTTTCTTGCTCAAATACCTTCCATAGCTCCCTGCTATCTATGGGATCCAGTCCAAACTCCTCACCTTGGTGTTCAAGACATCCCACACAATGGCTCTAACCCACCTCTTCAGCCTCATTTCCCACTGTTCCTCCCACCCTCACTATGCTATGCTCCAGTCAAACTATTATTTGAAATCCTTGGAAGATGTTCTACCCTTTCTCACCTATGTGCTCATATCACCCCACTGACTACTAGTGATGGAAGGGACCTTAGAAACTATCTAGTCCAACCCCCTCTTTTTATAGGCAAAAACAAAACAACACAAAAAAACTGAGGCCCAGAGAGATGCTATTTGTCCAAGGTCACATAGCTTAGAAACAGCAGTGCCCAGATTCAAAGATAGGCCTTTTGGCTTCAAATTCAGTGTGATTTTCACCACACTGCACGGCCTCTCAACAATAAATAACAATACAGTATTTGATAAATGCCCTTGTGTAGAATCATAAGGTCCTAGGATTCAGGGTCTAAAGGGACTTTGGAATTCAGTTATCCCACTTTAGATTTTACATATGAAGATACTGAGCTCTAAAGAGTGCCTCTTAGCGTCAAAGATTTATCATTGGAAAGGCTCTCTGTGGAACTCTGGATCTTTGTTCATTTTACAGATAAGCAAACTGAGACTTAGAGAGGGTAACAGCCTTAGGAAAAGTCATATAGCTGGTAAATAGCAGAACTGGAATCTGAATCCAAATTCAGTGCTTTTCCCACTGTAGATGCTGTGTGTGAAGGCTCCGTAACTATAAAATGCTACATAAATAAGATATTATTCATATTACTATTATCAATGAAGCTGGAGCCAAGAAACCTGAGGGAAGAAGTTCAAACTCCTGAGACTTTGCTGGAAGGTCTCTCTCTCCTGTGAACCTGATTGAGAGGAATTGGGCTAGTCGCAGCCCTTCTAGCTCTGAGATTCTGGTGATGCCTGGTCAAGGCAGTAATGTAGGGAAGGGAGAGGCCTAGAAGTCCTTAACACCAAAAGAGACACTGAAGAGTTTGTGAAGGTGCTTTCACTGTGCCTTCATTGACAACTTCAATTGTGAACAATTGGAGAGTAAAGTTGTACTAGCTAGCTGGGAGCTGGCCAGGGTACTGAACTAGCTGGGCTTTTTCACCATCTTTTCTGTGCTACTGAAATTGAGTCAAGTTTTACCTCTAATAGAATCATAGATTATCAAAGTTAGAAGGGACCTTAGAACACAAAATGTCAGAGTTGAAAGAAACATTAGAACATTGAATACGGACTATCAGAGCTGGAAGAGACCTTAAAATAAAGAATGTCAAAGTTGAAAGGAGCATTAGAACACAGACCATGAGAGCTGGAAGTCCATCAATAAACATTTATTAAATGCCTACAATGTGCCAGGCATTGTGCTAAGCGTGAAGATATAAAGACAAAAAGTCAATCCTTCCCCTCAAGGAGTTCACAGTCTAAAGGAGGAGACATGCTAATAATTACGTACAAACAAGATATATACAGGATGAATTTGAAATAATTAACAGAGGGCCATTGAAACATAGAAAATAGAATACCAGAGTCAGAGGGAAATTTAGATAACAGCTCAATCCCCTTGACACAGAGGAAAACTGAGACCCAGATAGGGGACTGGCTATAGCCACATAGCCAGCAACTCACTTAGACCAAGTGTTCTTTCCACTGTTTTAAGTTATTCTCAGTACCCATCCTGGTGTCCCAAAAGAGTAGGATTATGGAGGCTTAAGGGGAGGCACACTATTATAAAATGGTTCATTACTCCATAAATTTGGACGCACCACAGGATGAAACCATGTTCTCTTTGAAAATAACCTACAAAGTAAAGCCTGGTTGAATATAACCTATCTGGTAGTGTCCTATTCTGAATACTCAGAACATAAATCAGTATTTCCTCACTAGGAATGCTTTCTTCCTTCCCCAGGCTTCAAGGCTCAGCCCAAATCCCACCTCTACTATGAATCCTTCCTTCATTTCCCCAGCCTGGTTGTGTGAACTGGGCCCCTTTATTTTTCAATCTGCACCCTCTCCCTCCTCCTGTTGCTCTTTTGAGCAAAATGTTCAGTCATTTTAGTCATGTCTGACTTTTCATAACCCCACCTGGTGTTTTCTTGGCAAAGATATTGGAATAATTTGCTATTTCCTTCTCCAGTTCATTTTACAGATGAGGAAACTAAGGCAAACAGGATTAAGTGATTTGCCCAGCGTCACATAGCTATTGTCTGAAACTGGATTTGAACTCATATTCCTAACTCCAGGCCCTATGCTTCATCCACTACAACACTTAACTGCCCTTTAAACAAAGTGGCACAGTGCCAAGAGCCAATGCATCAAGTGCTGGATTTATTACCAACTTTGTGAATATCACATAACTGCATTGGGTCCAAGTTTCCTCATTTAAAAATGGAGACAATGATCTTTGACTCATCCACCTCAAAGGGCTATTATGAAGATCAAATTAAAATGCTTAAAGGGCTTTGAGAAGATAAAAATGTTGTTGGAGCTATTTATTACTAATTCACATATTTTTGATGAAGTTCAGATAGAAATGCATTATTATCATCTTTTTTTAAAAAAAAAACCAGTTCAGATAGAAAGTCCTGGGACAAGTTACTACCCTGCTATTATTCTTCTACATTTAACGCCTTGACACTACTGCACAAGTGGATAAATAACTGCTTTTTTGTACCATCACTATTTACTACCTACTACTACTACTACTACTACCACCACCAACAATAAAAACAGCTCATGTCCACATTGCATTTTACAGTTATAGTGTTTCCTTTCATTCATGTGAGGCAGGTATTATCTTTATTTTGCTGATGAGAAAACCAGTTCAGATTGTGACTTGCTCAGGGTTATGCAGCTAATAAATGGTAGAATTAGGCTTCTAACCTGGATCTTCAGACACCAATAGCCAGCAATAGATCAAGGGATTTTAATCAATCCTTGATTTTTGTCATAAAAAAATGCTTTAAAAAAAAAAAGAACAATAATCTTCATGAATCATTGAGACCCAGGAGGAGAGGATGGGAATTGGTTTAAAAATAGATTCAGGAATTCTATTAATCTAAATCTAGACCATACAAAAATTCAATCAAATCCAAAGTCATTACTAGGACAATAGACAACCAAAGGTGATTCAATACTACATAAATGTGTTATTATCCATTAAACTGAATATTTATTAAGTGCCTACTAGGTGAAGAGTGCTATTAGTTGTTGGGAGAGAAAAAGTTTTGCTAAGATGTGATCACTCTGCTCTCATTGGAGCTCAGTCTGGTAGGAAGATAAGACACAAACATAGCACTGCATGGTAAATGTAGAACAAAGCTGCAAAAAAGTGTTTATATGGAGTTCAAGTGGACTTCAAAGGAAGTCCTTACTGACTGGGGAAGTCAAGGAAGGCTTTATGGAAGAAGTAGCATTTAGGTTGGACTTTTAAGGATGGCTAGAGATTCAAAAGGGGACAATAATAAGATATCGTTTCCAGCAAATAGTAGAAAGTTTCAAGTGATGAAATGATGAAACTTACCTTTCTAATTGTCCTTTTCGAGGCTTGCTCAGCTGCCTACTCTCTGCTTCAGCCTTGAATATTAAGCAGGTACTTAATAAATGTTTGTTGAGTTGAATTGCACTTTTCTGGTTCTTCAATGCCAAGGTCACATGTGTCCAAAACCATCTTCTAATTTCTTGCTTTGGAAATCAGCTGTGGCCTGGATGCACGGAAGAAGTTTTAGATCAAAGATAACCCCAATAGCCAGCCATATAGCTCCTATCCTTCTTTCGCATACAATGCAATCTTACCCAGAAGATATAGAATGTACTAAGTCACTTAGCGTCCAAACAAACATTTCTTAATTACCTATTGTGTAGAAGATACAGATGCAGCTTAAAGTTGTTGATGGTCAGGTATACAGTGATAAAGGCAGGGGTGTGGAAGAAGCCTGGGGAGACAATGATTTGGATCGTTAGGATTAGTTTTCGTGCTTGCCCAAAGTCATTTGCATGGGATTTGGGGGACCCGTAAAAACTAGAATAGGTAAGATCCATATTGTGTGGGGTTTCATTGGCACAGCCTCCCTGAAATGGCTTGGGGCAAGCTCCATAAGAGAATTAAGCAAGCATCGTATGGACTTTCTAACTCCAAGTCAGATAGAGGCTTGGAATAGAAATTCTTGCCCCTTGTGAGCAAAAAGTTTAGGCTAAAATGAAAAACCGCACAATGTCAATGTTATAATAGTTGGCTGGCTGTTTTGTGCTCCAAAAGAGCTTGTAGTCAGGGGACAAGAAAATTCCTTTTGGAGAGGGAAAGCTGATAATGACCAAGATTCTAATGACATATTTTTCTTATGTGAAAGAAAGCAGCTAAAAGTTTTTTTCCCTACTCTGATATTTGTTGTATGAAGTACTTGCTTCCCTAAAAGAGCTTAAGTTTAAGCCTCTGGGCTCTAAGCCAGGAGGAACATGGTAGAGTTCACTCTTCCTCACATGGAAAAGAAATAGCACATCAGCAGAAGGCTCCAATTAAAGTCAAAAGTTGGAAAGAATTTCCACAGATATATGCCCTGCAGACCCACACCAGGCACCTACAAAGGGGTCAGTGGAGCATGTTCCCGTATGGACCATGAGACTGGTAAGAAGCAAGCCTTGTGAGAGACTGTACATCTCCCAAGACCAGGAGGGAGCTAGTCCAGAGGAAGCAGTATCATGACATCAACAGAAAGTGGTCTTACAGTTTTGAAGACATAAATTTCCCCTTTACATATATGTGCTTTAGCCACACATTCACTCTAGATGTATGTCCCCCTACCCATATTCCCCAAGTATGCCCAGTCTTCCCACTGATGGTGCATGCATTTGTGGGAGAATGTGCCCAGTTTAATTTGGTCTTTTGATTGACTAGTAAAAGTAAACCCACAGACAGAGGCTCATAAGCTATGTCTTTTGAGTAGATCTGGACCCCCAGAGTATTTTGAACATAATGTACTTTGGGGGGACCTATATTTGAACAGAAGTGTGCCCCCAGGTGCAATACAAAGTTTAGATAAAACACTGTCTCTACCCTTGTGGAGCTCACAGTTTAGTAGGATTGATATGACCCCTACACAGATAGCTGAAAAAAACTCTATTATATGATAAATACATATGAGTGCCATGTGAGATCACTACTGACAGGGAAATCAGGTAAAACTTCCTAGAGAAGGTTACATTTGAGTTGAGTTTTAAAGGTTAGGTAAGAATTAAACAGGTAAACTATGAAAAGGGCATTCTAGAAACAGAAAAAAGTGTGAATATTAGTGTGTGTGTGTGTGTGGGGGGGGTGTTTCAAGGATAGAGTAGTCCAGTTTGGCCAATGTACTTTGTTGAGGGGAAACAATATGACAGAGATTCCTTTATAAAAGAACACTCATAAATTCTTCTTTCAGTTTAGCTCCAGGAAAAATCTTTGATGATGAATGTTCATTTCTATCATCAGGGAATAAAAATGATGTAGCCAAATGGATTCCATTTTTCCTTTTGGTGGCAGAAAATTAATTTTAATACTTTGATTTGTAATCTCATTCATCTGAGTAAATGTACTGATTGTAGCCCAGCTATACCTTCTTGTCCTGTGCAACTCTTGTCCATGTCCTCTTTTAGATATTTCCAGAGGAAGTCCATCTATTTTCTCAAGCCTTCTTCCAGATCAGAAAACTTACGTCTATTTTTTTGCCTGTTATAGTCTGTTCATTTGGGGTGCCCATAAGCATTTATTCCTGCTTCTTCTATTATCTCTTGTCTCTTCTGTTATCTTATTGTCTCTTCTTAGACTTGATTTTAATCTGCAAGTTGGCAGGACATTAGCAAGCTAATGTTTGTCCAGAGGAAAAAATGGTTAGGGGATGGGGTTTGAAACTATGATATAGGACGTTCAGTAGAAAGGTATAGCTTACTTACATAAAATAAAGCTTAAAGAGGTCCAGGTTATTATTTTTTAATTTTCCCCCAAAGGGTAGGGAGAAGACAAGGGATTACAGTTGCCTTCAAATATTTGAAAGGCTGTCATGTGTGAGAGGCATTCAACTTGCTCTGCCTGGCCTCTAAGGGGAGAAGTAGGAACAACGGGTAAAAGCTGCTTAGCTGACGTAAGGCAAAGCTTACTAATAATCAGAATTTGTCTCACAGCAGAACACACTCATTCTAGAGGCAGTGAGTTTCCTGCATCACTGGGGGTCTTTTACAGAGACTGGAACAGGGACTCCTGTTAAAGCATAGATTGGATGAGATACCTGGTCTTTTCAAATTGTGAGATTTTATGAAGCATGTAGTACCCAAATCTTATATAAACATAAAACATTTTCCCACCAGACTTCACAGTGAAAGCTAAGGTCTTGTTTTCAGCTGTCAGATCTTGGTCTCTTCCACTTTTTACACATGCTTTTAATTAGTTTTTTTAATTATTTTTAATTTTAACTAATTTAAAAATTAATTTTAATAGACTTATTTCATAGAATAAGGCTTTTCACTGGACTAATGCTTGTTACCAGGAAGCTGTTGGAGGAAGCATATGCTAGCTGTAGCCATGCGTCTTGTCTCCTAGGACTGGGGTGCTCATGGCTCATTTTCCCTCCAAATTTACTTCCCCAAAAAGTAGCCAATCATAGAATCATAGGTCTTAAAACTGTGGGGTATCTCAAGAAATCATTGCTTGCTTGCAGGAAGATAAAGGATGAGGAAATTGAGGTTCAGAGATATTAACTGTTTTGCCCAGGATCATATTGCTAAGAAGTGGGGAAATCAGAACATAGATATCTTTTCAGTGTTGTACTCTCTTGCTGGAAATGTGCTTCTCAAGCCTATTTGGCACCTATAATTTTAAAGTTGTAAGGAATACCTTGGCAGACAGTCCCCATGAAGAATTCCCCCACAGCATCTCTGACAGGTAGACATCCAGCCTTTGTTCCAACTTTTTCAGTGAGTGGGACTTGGTATTATTCATTTGATGAACAGTGTCTTTTTTTTTTTTTGGCCAGGACCTATGATTTCATTGATGCTGTTGGTAAGAAGACTCTTTCTGTCAATGCAACTGTTTTGCAGCTTACACTCTTTTTTTGGGACCCTGTGGTTAAATGATTACCCAGGCTCACATGGATGTCAGAGGCTAGGACTTGCCACCCTGCTTTGTTCCTTTAGGCTAGTCACAATGAGATTACACAGCTCTTGCCCACCAACTGATTTTTATTAGTGTTGTTGCTTTTTATTATTGGGGAATTCAGGAGGGAAGGGTGGGCTGGCAAGAGGAAGAGCAAGATGGTGACAGGTTAGAGTGGGAGGTCCTTCCTGAAGCAGTGGGAAGCAGATGGCCCGAGTTTATGTACCTGCTCCCAGATCGCCCACTGAATTCTAGCATTGACAGCACAATTCCCCTACCCACCGCTCAGTTAGGTTTTGGGTCCACCAAACACCAAACTGTTCGTAGCCCTATGCAGACTTAAACACCTATCTTGCCGAAGTCACCAACCACTGTAAGTCTAGATTGCTAGATGCTCTCTAGCCTTATTTCTCATTCCTTCTAGTTACACTACACCCAGAAGCCTTTGTTTCCCCCACCAGTTTTCCAGGCTTCACCACACACAGCTTCTCTTTACATTTAAAACTAAACTACTCACTGCTTCCTGATTAACCTTGCCCTGCCCTCTTTCACCACCATTCTTAGGAGCACTAGCCTTCATGCCTGCTAGAGTCTCCTTCCACATCTATGAGATCCTCTTTTTTTTCTCCGAGGTTCTGCTCAAGTACAGTCTTCTTCATTGCCACAATCACCCCTCAGCTATATGTGCACTTTTCTTCCTCAAATCTCTCATGACTCTGCGTGGACCTCTTCAGTAAACTTACATTATAATTTGCATTATGGCTATCTATATTTCTTATCCTTCCTGCTAGGCTGAGCTCTTTAGGGACAAGGAGTGTCCTGTTTAACTTCTGTATTCCCAAAGTTATCTGTGTGTAGTGGATGCTTATTAGTTTTGCAACTGGAACAGTTCACAACAAAATTAATCTATAGGGCTTAAAAATTCAAAACATCTTATGTTTCCTTCTCTAAAACTTGGAAGAATTTAAGAGACCACATGCTTCAGGAGAAAAAGCACAGATCCTAATCCGCACACATCTTCAATTTCTCTCCCAAAGCTGTACACACTGTCTGTGCTACGCATCATTCAGTCAACCACCGCCAATCAGTCAGAATGCCCAAGTTCTACTTCTAGCTCAGTTACCTTACTGTGGGATCTAAAGCAAATTTACTTCATCTTCCAGGCCTTAGCTCCACTATAAAATGAAAGAGGCAGTGGGGCATACTCATTTTGTTGGAAAAGTAGTAGACTAGGGATGTGGAATACTGCATACAATGTCAAACCCAGTGCCTCTTTTGCTCTTTTGGTTGGTTTTTCTTAAATGTTTTTCTTAGAAAGTAAGACTCATGGGGATGTCATATACCTGGAAATAACTTATGTAATACAGAAGGAATCAATAAAGCTTTAAAAAATAAAATTAAAATGAATGGGTTGCTTTGATTGGGGAATGTCAAACAAACTGATACAGGAAAGATGCATTGTAAGAAATAATGAATAGAAGAAATTCAATGAAACATCCGGAGACATTAGCAGAAACTAATGTAATAAGAAATAAGCAGTACCAGGAAAACAATATGTATGACTACAACATTATAAACAAAAACAGTGAGTACTGTGCAATTATAACTCACTTCGGTCTTGAGAGGAGATTAGAAAATGAACCTCCTTCCATCCTGTTAGAGAGGTAAAAAGATAGACACCGTGGGTATAAATTATTGCATATGCTCTCAAATGCCATTGATATGTTGGTTTGGTTTGCTTAACTTTTTGTTTACGGGGAAGAATAAGCGGGGAGAGCAACAGGAGCACAGAGAGATATATCCAGAAATCACTGATGTAAAAACAAAAGACGCCAACAAATGTTAAAAAGTAAATTAAAATGAAGGCATTTGATTAGATGATTTCTACTTTATCAAGGATCAAAAGCGTTTTCCAGAACTAATGAACACTGAATAAGTCTAATGACTTAGGGTGTATTGTCCAAATAGTACAGTACTAAAAAAGCTCTGGTCTTCATTTCTTTCTCACTCTGATCTCCAACTCAGGTCTGGCTGAGCCCCATCATGGATAGCAATCCCAGGCTCCAACAAACAAAAATCAGTAAAATTTGTGTTCCCATTCCTCTTCTCCTCTCTTCCCAAATTATCCACATTGCCTCTACTAAACAGATTCCAGCTACGCATTTCTATCCACAGCAAATGAAATGCGGATTAAGTCTCAGTAATGGAAGCAGCAATAGTAATTTATGAAAGAAAAAGCATGTGAAAATTATACAAAGGCATGCATCAGGGAAAAGAAAAGGGAAGGCTAGTCTAAGAATCATAAAACATCAAAGCTTTTTTGTTTTGAAGGGAACACGATATGCATTTAAAAAAAAAAGTAGAAGATTGACCCAACAACACAATTTCTGTATTGACATTTGAGTTCTTAATAATACATCAAATGCTTTCTGTCCTTAGAACACTGCAACCAGGATTGAAGCAGGAATGAGGTCACACACTGCCAAAAATTTCCTATAGGAACCAGAAGTTGGTGATGAAAGAGATAAACACGCTGGCTTCTCTTCTTGATTTACAAGCAGTGAGTTTTTTCAAGGCAGAGGTGGAGAATGGATGGTGCTTTGGTAATTGTGGGGATGGGCAGGCAATTCCAGCTGAACTTCCAACCCATTAGAGGACTCCTAAGCTCCAGGACTGGATGAAAACTGATGATCTTGGTTCAGCTCTATAAGGATGCTCAGGCTGGGATGTTACATTTTTATGGCCTTCACATGAACATGTCATCATAGCCTGGGGGTGGGAGATGATCTGGACTGGGTCTGTAATGAAAACAGCAGTGGTGAATTTGGGGAGGAGGAGGGATTTATAGTTCCCTGAGTGACCAGAAGTCATAAGATCAAAGGATCACAAGATTATAGGATTAGAGCTGGAAGGAACCTTTTAAAGGCTATCTATTCTAACATTTTCACTTTACAGTTAAGGAGACTTGAGGCCCAGAGAGTTATAATAACTTACCCAAGGTCACACAGGTAAGAAACAGCAAAGTCAGAATTTGAACCCAGGTCCTCTGACTCCAGATTTAGTACTTTTTCCATAACAGGTTACATACTAAGGGTAGGAGCCTTCTCATTTACCCACAGTTGCACCTGGCTTATGCCCCTCATGGGAAAAGGATGGGAGAGGGCTCCACAAAGTCTAGAGGCAAGCTTTTGACAGCAGGGGTAGGCTGTGCAGGGCTGAACAGAAATGAGACGAACAGAACAGGCTGCCTTTGATTGCACACTACTCCTTGATCAAATCCAGGGGCCCAATTCTCCAGCCATGTAAGGTAAGGCACTCATTAAATACTTACCCAGATGGACTAGTTCCAATGGGGCCAAAAGGATCAAATCGAGCTCCTGGGGGAACAGCACCTGGAGGAAGCCGGTTGGGGAGTCCAGAAGATGGGTCAATGAGAGCTCTTGGGAAACCAGATCTCAGGGGGTCCAAAATCATGCCACCTCTCTGACCCCTGAAGCAAGAAAGAAATTAGGTTGAGCAGTGGGTATCTCTGGGCAAAGGTAAAGGGTAGGGAAAGATGCTGCCATTCTGTTTCTATCCTGTTGGACAAATAGGAGGTTTGGCTCTGATAGGTAAGGATGAGATGCAAATAAGGCTGAACAACTACATACCAATAGGAAGTGGTGAGTGTAGAAGAGCACACCCTATTGATTGAAATATGAATCTGGTTCTGAATTTGTGTCCTCAGTCCTGAAGGGCAAATCCAATTCTGTAAGGCTACGTGAGTCAACAGTAATATAAACAAAGAGAAATCACCTCTAGAACAAGGGTGTTCAATGGGACTAAAGGCAGGAGTCAGAAATTCATCAGTGTCATCAGCAAAGGGCCACAGTCAACTTTTGAATGAGTATGAGAAATGTTCTATCTGCTTTTGTTTCATTAGATTGCCCTCGTGTGTTGCCACACTGTCATATTTTATGCCTTCTGAAGAACATAACATTACTAAACCATAGCATCAATATAACTCAAAATGGCAATTTATTTCTTTTTCATGTTTGCATTAGGATCTGCACTATAAGCTCTGAAGATCCACATCTGGCCCTAAAATGGGAAATTGGCCACTACAACTCTGGTTGATCTGCCTTATGCAATTCCATATATGTGAACCTTCAGAGAAGGGGAGACTTAAACTTATGTTTCCAAACTTACATGCAGAGCCAAGCAACTACTAGGTCCCCCACACCCCATGCCCCATCTTTTTTTCCCTAGAAAGAGATCCCAAAGTTGGCATCAACTTGCAAAGGAGGTTAATATCTAGTCCAAATGATGTGGTAAAGAAAGGAATCATAAGGGAGAAGCAAGTGAACAAGGTTATCCAATAAAACTCAGGGGAAATGACAAAAATATTCATTTATAGGATCTAAGGCTACTATAGGACCAATTCCTGCAAGGTAGGGTCTGACACCAATGATTTGTAAACGGCCCATGAGGCTTTCTAAGAAGGACATCTACTTGAACTTCCCTGGGTCTGGTAACTAATCACACACCCACTGTTGTTTTCAAACTTAGTATCCCTGTCAGGTAAGATCATTTTCCATACCCCCATTTTGCATGTGGGAAAAATGGAGCTAGGAGTCAGTGGTACAGTTGCTTACATTCCCCCCGCCCTCAAACTTCCCTTCTAGAGTTGCTGAATGTTAGGTCTTGACACCATTCTCCATCTCGCTGTCAAACAAAAGCTCTCCTTCCCAAAGTT